AGCTACTGGCATTTTTGGGTTTTCTCTCTGGTGCTCTTCCTCCTGCTGAGAATGAGGTAGGAATAAAATGTTACCTGGACTCTATGCCTTCTTTTATGGGGAGTGTGACTTAAACCACATATTTCGTGAAGCCTGCTTCTGATTGGCCAGTTTGCACCTGGCGATGACTCTTTCCCTCAGAGCTTCTGATTCAGAACTTAGACTGATGGGCCTGTTTAGATGAGCAAAATGGCTTGGTTTGCATCTTACAGTATAAAAATCTAATTCCTGTGTAGAGGGCCTCCATGATTTTTAATTTTGATTTCATGGAATGTGTCCTTTCTCTTGGTGCTTTGCATACATTTAAATGGTGATGGCCTGGGTTCTGATGCTATTCTTAAACAAGATTAATTATGGGCCCCAAATACAGGATGTCCAAGTATTTGCACAATCATGTGTCCTTCCCACTTCTGATAAGCTGGTGTCACTGACTTTAAATGTTTACAAATCTAACAGTATGTGCAATAAAAACTGAAACAGAAACATTGGTGAAGGGCCACCCTTTGGAAATGACTCCAACAGTGGGAAATCCTGCAGGAGGTCATAGAAGAACATCCAAAGTACCTCCAGGAAACGAATCATAGTTAAACATGGGGTGGTGTAATTTTATTTTAATGTTGTTTACATTACCTTTTTTTTGTAAAAGTGGTGACATGAGAAGCAGGAAATGAGATTGAAGACTCATTACAAATTTAGAGGAATTTTGAAGCAAAACTGTATAATTTTATTGGTAAAATCGATTAGAGACAAGCATCAATCATCCATGTATAGCATAACTTATTCAAATACATGAAAGCAGTTATTTACAGGCTACTGATAAAGTTCATATTACTATTAAACACATTTCTATTTACCAGTTAATGTACAAATTGAGCTGTTATGATGCCTAAAAATCAGTTATTCACTTTATTATTGCTACTATAAGCTTTTACTGGAAGTTGATAAAAAAAACAGGATTCTTGTCAGATATTAAATACAACCTCAGATTAAACCCTACAAATGAGAACATGCTCATACCTCTGGAAACTTTTCACATTTTGACACATCAAAGCCACAAACTTTAATGTATTTTGAGATTTTTATGTTATAGACCACCATAAACTACATATTTAATAAATTGAGTCCACCTGTGTGAGATCTAATCTCAGTGTAAATCAATTTCTGCTTCTGGCCTCAGTGGTTTGTTAGAGAACAGGGAAGAAGCTTAGGTTCAAAATTTAAGGGTTAAGTTCCAGATTAAAGTCCTGAACTGTGAAACATGGCATAATTATCCTCTGGGGAGACTTTTTAGTCAACAGGGATGAGGATAGTATTGTTAACAAGTCTGAGATACTTAATGCAAAAAGTGTCTGTGTTTTGGTTTCCTGCAACTTGGTGTCATTTCAAATGCTAGAAAAATAATTACTTACCAATAATGATTTGTTATTTGAATTTAACAAAAAGGTAATGGCAAATGAAATCCAATGCTGAAAGTGCAATCCCTTAATTAAAGGAGTGTTGAAGACATTACAGTGGAAACCCATCTGTTTGAGGTTCAGTATTTGTGGATTTTTTTTGTAGAGATAATCAAAAAATATTCAAAACAAAATGTAGCTTGAGAGACTGATAAAGCTGCATGTCGACTATTTCAATGCTACTTTAGACGCTATTGTGTTGATAGAGAATACCTTACCATCCCTCTTAGGGTAAGCACAAGTCAACAGCTGCTTAACCTTCAATCTTTCTGGCATAAACTGTGTTTAAAACACAAAAAAATCCACCTCTTCCACCTGCTTTATCCCGACTCTTTTCCCACTACCTGCAACCGCACTCCGCCACCTTCATTTCCTCATAAAGGTATCTGATAGTGATGCGCCCGTTCTCTTTGTACATGACCGTTATGGGGTCCAGTTTTATGGGCACGCAGCAAGCCATGTTGGCCTTCTTGGGGTCCCTGAGGTTCAGCAGCGTCTGGATGATGGCGTGCCTCGACGGGGTGGACTCGTCCGTCAGCGGGTAGGAACACACCCCTCGGCACTCGAAGGCGTCGTACTCCGGGGGCGCCACGATCCAGCTGTTCCAGCCGATGTCTTTGAAGCTGACCCTGAGCGAGGTCCTGCGGCAGTACTCCCCGTCCGCCTTCCGTTTTGTTCGCCGCGGGCGCCGAACGCGGGGGGTCTCGCGCGGCGCTCGATGGCCTCTGTCCCAGTCGGCCCCCGTGTGAAGGAAAGGATCTTCCTCATGGAGGGCCATCTCTCTGAGCTCTTTCTGTCTCTCCCTCCTCCTGCTGTTAAAGTCATCTGAGAAGATTATTAAAGCAGCTGCGGAATCGTCTCCGACAGACGCGCTCATGTTCAGACAGCCCGCTCCCTCCTCTGCTCTGTCGCAGGCCTCCCTGTCCACCGCTACGTCGAGTGCTGTCGCGCCACGGCCCGACTCAGTCCCGCTTCGAATGGCTGCCGTCACATCAAACGTGGCCCACGTGCTCTGCGAGGCCGACACGTCTTCGCTGTCCAGCGGACGTGAAGACGAGGTGGAGTTGTCGCCGTTAGCTTCGTAGACTTTGACTGCGGCTTTGAAACTCTGCGACGTTACATTTGACCCGGTGTCTGGGAAGAAGAAGAGCTGCAGCTCAGCGGTGATGATCTGTTCGTGGCTCGGGATGCTGACGTTGAACTGCAGCCGGAACCTTGACTTAGGGCCGATTGTCATGACATCTATTAAAGATACCAAAAAAAGTGTATTTATTTTTTTATTTAGTCTGTACAAAAAATACTAAATGACATTGTGCATTTATTTTATTTATCAAACACATTTATTTACTTATTTAGATTTTTATAAAGAAACATATACAATAAAATGAACAAATTAATCTCTTTTTAAATAGACAAAAAATAATAAGCAAGACCATCTGAAAATATTTATTAATTTGTAGATTAAGCATGAAAATAAACAAGCAAGTCAATAAATATTTCAATTTTTATGTTGAACGATTTTTTCAATAATTTTATGTTGAATTTTTATTTTATTTTAATTTTAATTTTGTTTTAATTACTAAATGAGTAAATTAAGAAGGAAATTGGTGCCAAAGTATGAAACCAAATAAACTCTTAAGTAAATATTTAAGTATATATTTTTTTGCTTGTTTACAGAATTCCAAAGACAGCCATATACTTCTTTAATGTTTTGCATTTCTAAATAACCATTTCTCAATAAGTATTTCAGAAACCCAGAAATACTTATTTATTTGTATTATAGAGAAGTAAATAAATAAATATTCATTCCATTTATATTTATTTTGTACTCTTTGTAACTCTTTGTATTTTTACCATGTTAAAATTGTTTTAGGTGAGGCTTCTGACTTTTTTAAAACAAAGTTTATATCAATTGAGATTTGGTTCTAAAACATTTCTTAAACTTTTAAGTTGGTAACAAATTTAAAATGAAAAATATAAACAAAACAACGAAAAAACACTCCCAGCTCAATCCCACACTCCAGAATAACAGCTTCTCAGTTTGCAGCTTCCGTTGCCCCTTCACCTTTCACCTCCACTTATCCTTTTTTGACCTTACTTTGCAATTTACTTTCATTAATTTAACAAACTTCTTCCATGCCAGTATTTTCTCAGAGCAAATAATATTCTCCTAACTGTGTCTAGCAACAACAACAAAAAAAGACCAACAACAATGGTGACAATTCACTACATCTCCATTTTTCTGGTCTTGTTTGCATCACAGACGCAGAACGCGTCATCACTGTTGGTACCTTGGACGGCGAAGCTTCGTATGACATCAAACTGAGGGACCGCCGACCTGTTTGAGGAGTACTTGTTGTACAGCTCCACCATGAACTGAGAAGGTGAGATCTTCCGATCCTCCTGTGGAACGTCTGAAAGGTTGAGTTGCCTCAGGAAACCTTCCTTCATGCTTTCCAAAAAGTCCTCCATTTGTGACTCCTTGTCTTCTTCCTCCAATACATCCTCATACAGCTCCAAGCGGAGCCTCTCCAGATCTTCGCTTTGGGAGTTGTTACTGAGAGGCTTGCAGGTGCAGGAGGCGATGGAGACCACCAGAGTCACGCACATCTGGAGCAGGAAGGTCCCGGATATCTTCATTTTGATAAAAGAGTTTTAGCAGGCGACGACTTTGGCTTCTGAAGTGAGAGTTTGCGGTTGGAAAGTTTGAAAACAGCGTTCCCCGGCACAAGAATGACAGTCCTGTTATCCGCTCCCATGCTCCAAGAGTAAACAGAGGGCCTGGCGTCAACCGAAAAAAAAAGTATCTTGGCCTGCTTATCACCATCATTGATGCCTTTTTAAAGCTCCGTTATCTTCTGGAGGCTGTCTGCTAATGAAGACACTGTAAACACTCCACAGTGATAATGAGGGAAGCACTGGAAAATGTGAGGTTTTTGACAAGCGGACATTTCCACATAGAGCCTTTTTCCCAGCTTCATATTCACATCAACCAGAGAGAAATAGCTGGAGGAACATGGCACCTCATAACAAGTTCCAACTTCTTCTTCTGAAAAGTGTGTTGAAACACAGCAGACGGATCAGGGATTAAGATGATGAGAAGATTAAAACAGTTCAGGTTATAAACGGTATCTTGAGCCTCACAGACAAAAAGTCTAAAAATGAAAAGAGTACGACAGAAGCATAAACTAACTAACCAATACGGCTTTCCAGCTAGACTGACAGGGTGACAGTGAATATATTAATGGAAACGCACAAATTTTGCTTTTCAATAAAATGTGCTGGTGCTACGATGAAGTGTTTTTCTGGGGGTGCGGGGGCCCAAATCGTAATTGGTTAATTTAGCAAAACTGCTATGGAAACACTTTTTTCTACATCACACGAGACACATTATTACAGGAAGTAATTGGAGGATCAAGTTTTTTTAATGACTTATTGCATGAATTAACTTAATTACATTTATTATTTACACACAGAAACTGCAAAATAGTTTTTTTTTTTTAAATGTTAGCGTTATATTGACAAAGCTTTTTGCACACGTATCTAATGAAAACGCTGCTGTAGAACACATTCGTTTTAACATCTCATAGTAGGAGAAATGCATGCTACAGATAAAAACCTCATAAAAGATGGCCACCCAGGTCAACTGAGAACTCATTTCAGAGAAGAAACCAAAAGGCTCATTATAATTCATCAGAGCAGAAACATGAGAAAATGGGCAAAACTTTATGGCGCAAGAGTACACTGTTGATTCTACACCTTTGATCCCAATATACAGGTACTATTCAGATTGAATTATTTAAATGATTTATTCATTCTGATCAGATGAGACTATGACAAAACTTTTTGGCCTACATTTGTTTGACAGGCAAAACTAACTGTCCTCGCTTTGAAAACAACAACCTCAATGTTATCAGCAGTTATGGACTGTTGCACTATCAGCACATCGGATGGATTTATCAGTAGATGGAGGTTTTTGTGAAGGACGCCTCTCCCCTTACTCTTGTCACTTAGTACTTGGTTCATGCTGAGCTTTTTAAAAATGCTCCCAATGGGGCCTTTTCAAGATTTTTGTAAGTTCCCCTCTATGGAGTTATTCATTCGTGAAAGGAGACAACAAAATGCACTGGCACAAGTATAGTAATTACTGCAGGCATGGAGGAAAATTTAAGTGAAAAAAAAACAACAACATGAGAAATGCGGGTGGTGTCGTATGTCAACACCTCAGTGGAGTTGGCCCCTTCTTCAAATTAGACAAAATTGGTGTCAGTCAACTCGACTACGTTTGTGCAGCAAGCATTTTTGTTTGTGCTGCTTTGGCTTTGAAGATATTAATGAAAGTTTAAAGGTCAAAAGACCAATTTCACTGAGGTTTCACTGTAACAAGATTTGATTGTCTCCAATAATTATGTATTAGAAGGAGATTGTTATTGCAGTGAATATATTTAAATAAATTAACCTACAGATATTCAGATTTTTTTTATTATTTTAAAACAGACCCTTGTTTTATGTTTTTAATCTAAAATGATTTACAGATTATTTCCATTTAGAATTCAGGCTGCTACATTTCATTAAAAATATCTTGTATTTATTAGATTATTCTTGTTTTTGCATTTGAATGCAAAAGAACCACAAGAGATTAAATTTAGTGTCCCACACTATGCCGTGCTGTCTGTACTAATAAAGATTCACTCAACTCAGCATGCAGGGTGCTTAAAGCTAAACGTGAGTTTGACTTAGTTTTGATTACTTAGTTAATAATTACCTGACCAACTGGAGTGTTCATAAATAATTCAGTTTAATTCTGGGATACTAGAGAAGATCCTTAAATATATTAAATATTGACAATAATCTTGAAAGAACACAGTTGTGTATTGGGAAAAGAAGCGATACAGCAAATCACACCTTTGATTCCAATACTAATGAACTATTCAGAGTGGAAACACATCAAAAGCAATATGCACATTTAAAAAATTGCAAGAATTGATGTTTCACAAAACTCAATTAATTTTCCACATGTAGATCCACATTGCACAAGCTGTTTTTTTTAGTCTATTATATAAAACAATAGTGTGACTAGAGCTTCATGCTTTCTTTCAATGAATGGGCTTCAAGCTGGGGACATTGTGTAATTTGGGTTTATGATTTGTTTTAAATATAGTTTTAACAGATCTAAATTCACAAAAATATTTATATTTTCAAAAATCCCTAAAAAATATAGATAGGAATAAACTGCATACGCTTTGTTTCCAGATTCACACTGTAGTTCCAAACTGATTTGTTCAAATGAAAAAAACAATCACAATCCTCACTTAATTCATAATAGTATATTTAAAAAAAAAGATATTAGAATTATTAGCTTTACAGTCATCAATTTTATGTAACGTCAACATTTACCATTGACTGTATATACAAGTCAACCTTTTCTTCCATAAACTTACCATATAATCTGTTCAAGTATACACGCTACTGTAATACAATTTAATTACACTTTATAGTCACATACTTGTGAATACATACATTGGACATTTTAGTTATTGTTTAAAATCCATTATTATTTTACACATCAGTACCTGTACAAGTTTGTTTATGGGCTATATTTGAAAGGAAATCCGGAACAGGCGCACCAAGTTTTTCATTCCTTAGTTCACCGGCTTGCACAGCAGAGGGCAGCATCACACCGTTTTCCACCCCAGGACTCAGACGATGCAACCACATAAACATTAACATGCTTGAACAGTCAATGGAAGACCATCCTTTACACGAAAAACACGGAAACAATGCTATTGGAGCTGGTTTTAAGGAGATTGTGATGCATTATTCATGATAAAACAGCACCACGCCACAGAAATGACAACAGCTTAACTTGACACAAGTTGAGCATTCTGCAGCTTCAGTTTCTGATACTCTCCATAAGGTTGCAGCTTGTCAGCTTGACTAAAGGTTGAGTTCTTAAAATGAAAGATGAAAGCCAAGAGAGGAAAGCTGCTGAAATCCAGCTCGTCTTCAACCACACACAAATGGGTAACAGTGGAGTTTCCTGCACAGGGTCTTAAGTGACCCTTCAAAAACCCGGTCCACTTGAGTTAAGGCCTAAAGTTTGAGCTAAGACAAAATCACTTTGGATATTTTGGCCAAAAAAAGAACCCTCATCAACATCCAGGAAGCCAACAAAAAAGATTTGAACATGTTTTTGAAGGGAACCGCCTCAGCCTTTCTTTAAGGAATGTATAGATATAAATGAAATCAGAATAAGTGATAAACATTAGCTTTAAAAACTGTTAATAGAGCAGCATGCTTTAAGGCAACGTTCAGTCAGGTCAGAAAACAAACAAGAACAATTATGATAAAAAAAGAAAGGCCATTTCTCAGTTCTTCCCTCTGACGTGGTTTCCTGCACATTCAGCGTCAACAGTACAGACTTTCTCTCTGTTTTTCAATCATCACACTTCTTGGAGGACTGGGTGGTCCTATCGACAGCCGCACGTATCCACGGACATTCCAGGGTAGACCTTCAGAACCATGTTTCTATCCGGGTCCAGGAAGAGGACACTGAGGGAATTCATCTTGTCTGGAACGCAACATGGTTCCGGGATCCCTGGGACGATTCCTACAGCTCGGACGATACTCTGGATGGTGGCATGATTAGAGGGATGTGCCAACTAAAGGAATCAAGTGTAGAAAAAAGCAGCAATTAGCACTTAACTGAACAGCACAGAATTCCCAAAATAAGCATCTAAAATACACTATCACAGCTGGGGGCAAATCAAGGATCTGTCTTCTTCCTCTGTTCAGCAACAGGTCAACTCTTGGACTCAACTGGCATTACAAGAAGTTCTTAAGTCTTAAATACTTCCTGTTGATATAATCATCGCCACCCTACCACCCAACAGATAATTGCTTAAATAATAAACCTCTAGAGAGACTTTATCTTAAAGTTCCCATGACTTACTTTAGGTATGGGGAATCCACATGTCCCGGCACAGTAGTAGGCATCAAAAGACTTTGGTGCCAACACCCACTCACTCCAGCCAATATCAGTGAAGTCCACTCTGAGGTAGCGTCTGGAGCAAACCCTGGGCTCGCTCCACTGTCTCCTTCTCGCCTTTTTCATTGTCCGTTCATCAAAATTTAAAACCTGGGGCTTGTTCATGGCCTCACTGCCCACCTGACCATGCTTTCTCCCATTTTTGACTTCAGCTTTTGCTTTAGCTGGGAAGTACGTGTTTTGCCAGAGTTCATGGTTTTTCAAGGTGCTGAAATGAACCTCTGGAATGTCATTGGTTTCAATCTGGAGCTGTAGCTCTCTCCGGATCCTTGAAGCCGAAGTGGAGGCTGATGCATCGTCCCCGACAGGAAAAGGCCCGTACCTCTGAAGTGACAAGGCGACACTGTTTGGCTCGTCTATAGCTTGATCGTCAGCATATACCAGAATGTATGGCAGGTTGGCCGGAGACAGATGCTCATGGCTGAGCGGACCTCTCTGTTGAATCCCCACATCAACCTCCACAGTGATTACAAGCTCATTGACATCCTTGGCCTGTCTCACCACTGTGGTAACATCTCTGGTTTGCCAAGAGCCTTTCTTTAGAGACATAAGACTAATGTTTCCAAGAGGTATTGCAAAACCCAAATTTGAAGAAGATCCATAGAAAAGGAGCTGTGAGGAGGGCAAATGCCGGACTCCGATGGTTAGGTGACGAGGCTTTCTCAAATGCCATGGCCTCTGATGGTGACGGGGCCTCTTGTTAAGGAAGTGGAAAGAGGCAGAAAGGATGATCTCTGAGTTTTGAATTGAAGACAGATTGAACTGGAACAACTCTTTGCCGTGCAAAACTCCTGAAAGAAATGAAAAGGCAAATCAGCAGGATGGCAAGAAAATTCTCATCGACTTGAAAATCACATGTGACAGCTAGTGTTGGATTGATTACCGGTGTCGAAATAAAAAGGTAATGCTTTCAAAATTACTACATTTTTCTATAGCACCATTCATATGGTTTAAATACTTCTTAACGACCTGCCAGAAAAAGTCCCAGACTGACAGCTGTATCGAGTTAGAGAAAGAGCAAGGGATCGATTCATAAAGCACTGCTATTCTCCTACCTGTTACTTAGCACCGCCACCCAGCTAGCTAAAAAGACTAATCGACTTTTCCCTCAGAAAGAGACATTTGGCACTCTGGAGAAATTCCACCCCCCAAAAAACACACAGAGAGTCACGGTGCATAAACTAAAGGAGCATCCTCCACCCCTCTGAAAATCAAGACTAAGAACACATGTGTTTAGAGCTGCTTTTCAACCATAATAAATACATTGACCAACATATTTCCTGTGTGCCGATGATTTTAACTCTTGACAAGATTCAATGTCTGTTAGTGGTATTCACAATTGTTCAATGTATTTTGTGTTTTTATGTTTTTGTGATGTAAAGCTCTTTGAACTGCCTTGTTGCTGAAATGTGCTATACAAATGAACTTAATTGAGTGATGCAGGTTACATTTTATTTTTTAAGCAGCAGCAGGAATAATTGTTACTGTTTAAAAATCTGATAAAGATATATATATTTTGGTTTACATTATTGCTGTAATTGTAGTAGCAGTATTTTAACTTAAAGTTTATCACAAGGTGAGAATCTAACGGACCCATAGCTCACGACAGCTGATGCTGCTCTTTCTTAGCTGCTTTTTTCATTTGAGACAAAGAAACACAATCAAAAATCTCTTTTCACCTCAAACGGATATGCTCTTAATCAGATGCAAAACCTAAAATGAGCGCTTCCTGGAACCTGTTATCTGTTTTATCTCGTCCTTTGTCATCTCTTCTGACAGGTTTGCGGTAAATGAGAAACAGTAACCAGAGAAAAACCCCACTCACCACAACATGTTTCTCAACACATCTGAGCAGAGCGGCATGGAAAATATTAAGTGCTGCACGGTTAAGTGCTTGCCTTATGCATGACCAAAAACCTCATCCCTGATAGCTATACTCTTGAAGTTCAGCCTCGTCTCCCGCACTTCCACCACAGTCTGAAAGACAAACATTGGACCAGTCCAGTAGGTCTCTCGCAGGCATATGGAAGTGCTTATTGGAGAAAAAGTTATTCCTGAGGCTTTACTTTTTTTTTTTTGGTGTGCAGCCGGTGTCTGGCTGTGATAATAGGCGCTTGTCTAACACCTCGGCTGCTACATCTACTGAGGAGGTAACAGCATTTGACTCTTTAAGTCGCTCTGTTCAGTAAATCATAACGCAGTTGGAGCACTGAGGTGAAGACATGTAGCCCGAAGGGAGGCTGGTTACTGCTGTGAGATGGGCGGTACATCAACACTCAGTGTTCACGGCCATAAAATACAACAACGAAAAAAAACAAAACAAAAACAACTAACTTTCCACAAAGCATTTTGATTTCACCTTTAAAGTCCAACTTGACCCTTTAGGTTAGTACTTTTATCCTTTAAAGTGAATGCAATTGTGCTTAACACACCTTTTAATTTAAAAACTAAAACCCAAGATGAACTTAATTCTTAATCTATACTATTTAAAGCATAATTAAGAATAGATGCTTGAAAATATATATTTCACTTATTTCTGGAATCTTTTTAGTATGTATATAAATGATTTGCAGCTATTTTTTTCCTGGGTGTGATAAATGGTCAGATTCATGCTTTGTCATTTA